AGCAGCAGCAGCAGCAGCAGAAACAGCACCAGCGGTGGTGCGCGTGAGGGGGTGGATTTCGGCAAAGGGGTGATCCGCCGACGGGGTGTGCGGGTGCGGGAGAGAGACGCACGCGGGTGAAAAATCATCTCTTCGGCACGAAAAAAAAAAAATAAAAATATCATATTATTACGGACGCGCCGCGGCGTCGCTGCACGCACGCACACCGACGTCCGCATCCCCACCGCGAGCTGACGTCACGGCCGGCTTTACCATTGGGCACAGGCGTGGCGTCCGTGTCGCCCGCCGCCGCCCTCGGCCGTCCGATGAAGGGTTCGATAATGTACTACGCGACGCGTCCAACGCGGAGCAGGGGCGAGTGACCCGACTACCACCACCGCCAGCACCGCACCTCCGCCGCGCCCGTCCGTCCGTCGTCCTCGACGGCGTCGTCGTCGCCACCGCCGCCGCCGCGGTATTGTACTATGTACGTGATATTTTTCACGCAGAGCGCGGTCCCGTTGCAGTGCGCATGCGCGCCGATTAATCCACGTCGCAGTGGTGTGTGTGTGTGTGTGTGACGGTACAGTGTTTGTCCGTGTCGCGTGCGTGTGCGTCCGTACGTCCGCCGCTGCCGTTGTCGCCGTGCTGCTCCGCATTATTGTGTATTGTGCGTGTGTGAGCGCCGCGTAGCTTTTCGCGTGGTGGAAAGTGTAGTGTGCGCGCGCCCGCCACGTTGCCGCCGCCGCCGCCGCTTCGTCTACAGCACGTCCAACCCGCCCGGCAACGTTGCAATGTCACGCCGTTGAACGCCGTCGTCGTGCATTAATATTGTACCTGCCTGCCCGCCGATATATAATTATCATTGTTTATTAATATTTACGAGATTGATAACAGGTAATATATTTTTTTTTTTTTTTTTTAACGACAATACGAAATAATATTATCTCGTTTTGTTTTGTACTTTTATTGTTTTGGCGTACTGTGCACACGTACGTTTTAAATATTTGAATATTATGCCGTATGACATTATAAATACGTGCGTACACGGCTCGTCTTATCAGTCGACCGGAATTCCGATCGACCGATTTATGTGTCGTGTCGCCTCTCCCTCGACGACGTCAAAAACACCCTCCGGAACGGCTGTAGGGGGACTATTGTTGCAGTGTTTTTTTTTTTTTACACTCGTTTGGGATATCGCGAGGAAACGAAACCCTTTTCATTCGGGAAAGTATAAAAGCATAAAAGCATCTTTGTGTGGCCAGAGACCGTCCGCCCGAGTAGTCGTCGTTATCGATCGCCGTAACGCCGCCCGGCGAATACAAATACACGAAGGAAAAAAAAAAGGTCGGTCACACTTGTTGCTCTGCGAAGTCGTCGCACCCGGTGCCGGTCGCTCCGTGAGTGGGCGCTGTGTGACGTGCGCAAGTGTGCTGCGGGTGCTATACGATCAATAACGCGGCGGCCGAATTTTCCGGCGCGCGGGAAACTACAGAGATGCGACTCGTCCTGTTGGTAACACTGCGGTCACGCCATTCGCGCTGGTTACGTCCAACGGCTCAAATGCCGGAGACTTGATTCAGCGACCCGTTACAGCTGCAGGTGGAATCCGAAAGTTTGTATCTGCGTATTTGCGTGATGAACAAAACGATTATACGTATCCAAACGAATTCGATATCATTCATCGTGTGCACACCTATATGAGGACGTAACGTATTCGAGGTACTTACATATTGGCCGTTTAGTCGTCGGAGTGCGAGCGATGATGGAATGATGGGTGCAGGTACTCGTACAAAAAATTTACGAGCAGAAATGCGACCGGCGAACGAGAAATAAGAAGAATGGACAAAGTGAAAAAAACTGACGTTGTGGTTCCATGGGAACGACCGCCGTCATGGGTGTTGGTCACGGTTTATTTATTAATGTATATATATATATATATGTGTGTGTGTGTGTGTGTGTTATTACAATGCATCGCCACAGCAGTAGCCCAATCATCCCGATTGCGGAACGATGATAATAATATTATTACTATTATTTAAAAGAATAATTTAAAACATCGTCCCTCCGCCGCGTGAACTGCTGCAGCTGATGTCGGCGGTCAACGCACGCTTATAATATACAAAACGTGTATGACGCCGGCCCAAGTATAGCCGTTCATAACTGACGTTAAAATCGCTGTGGATTTTTGTGTATGACGAGCATCGGTACTGTGAATTTACGCTGATCGTCGGAGACACATAATATAATATTATGACATGGTTATAGGACTTACGGTTTATTTTTAAACCGCCAAAAACCGTTTGAGGATGTACAGACGATGGGTAACCCGACCGTGCTTGTTGTGCGTAATTATACGGTGTTATTTGTAAGTTTAACGGACCAAGACGCACCCGGCGATGGGTATATTATAGTCGTCTATGGCGAGGTGTGGGGGCGGCGGCCGTCGATTAATAAACCGACGATTGGAATACATTAATGACGCAATCCGATCTATCTGCCCGGTGGAGGTGGTAAAAGAAGTATAGGTATATCACATATTGTTGTAAAATACACGGTCGACGTATATCACACTCGGATATATTGCGCGCGCTGGCAACCGATAATAAATCGCACGTGGCGCTCAGAGTACATAAATCGACGTCATCAACTCTCTCCCCCCGACCGTCATATCATGTGTTATATTACAGACCGCGCGCCACCGGTATCATTCCCGTGGGTTTCGTGTATTATTATTATTACCATGTTTTGGTTATAAGTACACGCCATATACGTGTACATGATATTATTACACTGCGCGTATCGAAAATGTGTCCTCGTTGGACTGCGGATGTGTGAAAACGGGAGTTACTTGCACATCAGCTGTTGAACGTATAATAATAGTTCCCCATATGATTAGTACTACCCGAGTGTAGTAGCCAATAGGTGTGCAATAAATAACGTTTTTATTGTATCTACGACTGTTGACATACTTCTACTATTACAATTTCTAATGCGTGGGTAGCTATAATTTTCCGACCTTTACATGATGGATTGGAAATGCATTACGTTCAACTTATAGTATGTGATCGATGAACATACTATACATAGTTGCCAAAGTGGTTACATGCAATTAAGGTCATGGTATCCTCACAACTGATAATATTAAATAATAATAATATAGAATTTCATATAGAAATCGTAAACCGTAACCACAACCGCATACTACAACCATTATACTATGGTAACTATAGTAGACTCTTCGATTACAATATACTGCATATATATATATATATATCTTAAATAATATAAGTCTGATGGTCAGTGACTATCTGATTACACTAAAACCTACTTTTTCCAAAAAAAAAATATTAAATATGATTTTAGTAGAAACACCCTCATGCACCCCGAATACTCATCATGTACGCTTTATCGTCATCGCTCATTGAGAAGGCCATGAATATAATATATATATGGCGCGTAGATAAAGCGTAAACTCTTATCGATCTTTCGAGTCACTTGACGTTGCCTGCCGCAGGCCATCACCATGCTGTGTCGCAGTGGTAGTGATGGTGACAATAACAGCGTGTGCGTTTAACGATGATTTATGTGCGGGCGGCGGGGGGCGTTAGCGATTTTAGGTAAAACCAACTTTTCGGTGGGCTGCCACCCCCCTTCGGTAATGCGATTAAATAAAAGGCTATATAATAATACTTTTACTCTACAACCCTACTCGGCGCCGTCGTCGTCGGCGGGGCGTTAATCCAATTTCATTTTGTTTTTGTTGCGCTGCAGTGTGATAGTAGTGGTGGAAGGAAGAGTACAAGAGGGCATCATACGAAGAGTTAATATTTTCTATGGTTTTTATCCCTCGGTTAAAAAAAAATGTGTAAACCCAGAAACCCAGATGGAACCTAAATACCACGTAACTCTACAATTGATTTTGTTTTAATGTTATTAAAGAAATTATATTACCTTTAGCGCTTATACTTTATATAGCTATCTATAAACTCGTCATATATATATGTTCATATATATATATATTCTTATATCTTTAGCTACTATTATATAACGTTTCAAATAAATACGATAGCATGAACAACGCACATTTAATAACTAATCTATAAAACATTTTTACACTTCTGACTTCGTATAATTATTGATTATGAATTCGTACCTATAATATTTTTTTAACCTATTTGAACCATAGTCTTGACGATTGTTATTTTTAGTTAAAAGTATACGAACTTATTATTTATTTATTTATTATTAAAAAATAATGACACGCATAAATAAATACGCGTATATTACAATTGGATTTATCGTTTATTTTTTATATATTTATCTGTAATTTTGATAGATGGATCAAATTACAATATAATGCCAGATGTATTGGCGGTACGCGTGTACTTAAAACTATTCTGTTCATAAAGACGGACAAAGATTGTAATTTTTAAATTATAAAAATCCCCTAAGTTTCAAACGACAAAAGCAATTTTACTGGTTACATTAATTCATTATTTTGTTCCATCATTAAAATGGTTACCGGTAAAAAACCCGTAGATTGAGGGAGAAAATTTCAGACTTGTCTTTTAGTTATTCAAGAAAATATGTTATTATAGAGACTAATTGTACAAAATAAAAATTTATAGGAAAAATGAAAATATGTATTATATTTTCTTAATGATTCGTTAAACTATATATGTTTTTACAACCACCGCTACTTGTATTTTTTACTATACAGAACATCGTTTACACGTTTTAATGAAATGAATCATTGATCCCCCGTCGTGTTTGTCGCCTCGCCCCCATTCGTTATTTCGTTTCCCTGGGGTTTTGCGTGTACGTCTTTGTGTGTCTTACTACCACTCCGAGCACAAAGAGTCCGTAAAATCTTCCGCATTATATTCAGACGGATTTTTTTTTTTTTTTATCAAAGCGTTGTTTTGATCAATTCATATTTCTGTGTAGCCTAAGACACGTTTAACGCATACAACTTTTTCAGGTAAAATAATGAACATTTGAAAATGGTTTGCATATAATATAGAGTATATTTATCATTGTTCACATATTGGTATACACAAAAATTATAATTAATTAAAAAATAGTACGTTTATAACTGTAAAAATACCTTTAGCTGTTTGGTTTTAAAATTTCAAATTGTTAGTCACCTATGAATACATTAAGTTAGATATAATGTATTCATACTTTGTGTTATCTTATTCATTTTGTATTATTATAACCTATAGATTTAACTTCTGGACTCCCACGACGATTAGGTATACTTGTTATTTTTAAAAATAAATAAGTAATAATAATAAATAATAATACATTATACACGTATCTTACATAGATAACAACTATTTAGTGTTACTTATATAATACACATTCAAATTAATTCGTAATAATAATGCGTAATAACTTGAAACAGTTATACATAATTATATAATGTACTAATAATAAAAAGTATACTTATATGTATTATTATTAATTATTATATTATAAAATATTTTTCGCTATATCATTAATTTTATATCATTTTTTTATTTACAAATTACAATTGATTCTTATCTTGACTTATGTTGTGTTATAGCTTCATAATTATTAAGGTATTTAACAGTTTCCTCGTGAGCACTTGTGACGTTATAATGAATACTTATTATGCCTTACAGCTTATACTATCTTACAATAGATCGGGGATGAAACCTTCATATAACCGATAAACCATATGCTTTAGATTAATTTTAAAAGTCATCATCAAAAATATAATATAGGTTTTATGAATGGTTTGTTTGGGCGTACAGAATTACAATTACGAACTCACGAACGTGTCAAATTTGTTTAACAAAAATATTTACTCAGTTTTTTATCTTCCCTTACAGAGAGTGACAGTCATGAAAGAAACACGCCGGACTCTAGTGAAAAGCCTGAACCCGCATTTAGTATGTGTCCTATGCGCTGGCTACTATATCGACCCTACAACAATTGTCGAGTGCCTTCATTCATGTAAGTATTTTTTTTCTTCTCTATAACATATAACTTGTAAATCTTTCTCGGATGTATAATATTTTAGATATTGTATTATATCGTGCGTGCGTACTTCTACTTATAATATGTAATAAAATGCACCGGATTATGGCAAAAAGGGTTACCAAATTTATGCGCACACATTTATGAGATTTAATGCACGTGGAGAGCTTGGCAGGCCCGGAAGGCGCGTGTTCATGAAATATTAGTTTGTGTGTGTATGTGTGTGCGCGCGCGCGTACGTGTGTGTTGGAATAGCTCAGTCACTAATTGCCGACGATTAGCGAGGGCGGCGTCCTCGACATTACTCTATGTATACGTGAGAAACATGAAGATAATGGGTCAAATGCAAGCAATGCACGAACATTTTTCGAAATTGGAATTATTTTTTTTACGCAATCCATACAATTTATTTTTGTAACTGATCTCTTCCTGTAGAAGAAAAACCATGTAGGTATCCATTATTTATTTTTTTATCGTTTTTATTGCGGAGTGTATCAATATTTGACGATTTATTATTATACAACAATTCGTTTTTGTAGGTATTAAAATAATTGCTTTGTAAAAAGAATACAATATAAATTATTGTATAGTTCATATCTTGTATTTTGCATTCTTCTAATGATCTATTTACTTATATTAATTTACAACAATTTGAATTAAATTGATTCGATTTTAATATTATTCTTGTGACAAATTAACACTACGTTCATAATATGCATTTTAAACGTTTTTTACAGTGCTAATTTAAATACATTTGTATACAGTATATACATAAACACGGCTCTCACCGTATCCTCGTCATCCGTAATATACTCATGTTGCACAATACACACAACTTTAGTGATTTCTATACTTAAGCTGTTTCAAAAACAAAACAAAAAACATGCCACAACGATATTCACGACTAAGGTCAAATTCATGCAGTGCATAAATTAATTTCATTGTTGATGCCTGTATTCTGTCTATACTAGGTATATTGTATTCAACACAAACGTATATAATGTATGCTTTTTTTAATAACACTATATTTGTACTTATATGTTTTTATTTGGATCGGTATACAAAGGTATATTGTATATGGGCTGGTAAAGTTAGTTTTTGTTTTCATACGAGGCAAAAGGTTACGTTCTATGATGTGTATTCATTTCGAAATAGCGAACTTACATTTATATAAACGATCAAAAATGTTGTTCATAAGTCATAACGTACAGATGGCCGATCACGAGGGAGGGGAAAAGTAAATAATAACTGTTAAACAGTAATAAGCAGAACAAAATTTCATTAATTCCACCGCGGCGGTCGCGGAGGACATTGTGCTGCATAAGCGTAATATGCCTATATAATGTTGGCGGCTGTTGCTAATGATCGCGCGATTCATCGTTTGGTAACTGCAGGTGGAAAAAATAGAGGAAGATATTTCGGATTCTGTCGTTTTTTCAATTGATAGTACCCCGCCAAGGTCATATGCCCACGGTCCAACGATCTTCCGATCGTTCAACTGCTGTGTTGATGATATTATATAGTTTCTGTTTAGAGTACCTGTACGTTTATAGTTTTATACCACACTTAGACCCTTCATTAATTTTGCGTAGTTTTTTCTTACGATTTTCTAGCGCGTACCTAGTCCCAAACATCGTTGCACGTAATTTGCTTTCCCGACAGTGAAAACTGCAGTATGGGGTATTATTGATGGAACGACACTATGATACTATATACTACGCCACGCCGGCACATGCCACAAACAGAACATAAAATATTCTATGATAACAATGTCATCGCGTTATCGATGTCTCATTATTTCTGCGGTAATCCACAATTATGTAGTGCCATTGTTGAAGGTTATCTGCTGTAATGTGCCCAGTACCCACGAGTCTAATCGTATTAAATTATCGCGTGTACGGACGTTGATCGTCGAATATTATTACACTATTCTAAAAAGCTCAGTACAGAGTTTGCAAAAGCTTGTCGAGGGGCTTTGAAAAAACAGCTCGAAAAATAAGTAATCCGTCCGGCAGGGATCATGTCAAACATTTATAGAGAGGTGTTTACTCTCAAAAAAGTTTATCCCTTGTTTACAGTGATCGATAACCGTAAGATTTCTTAAAGGCGATTAATTTTCAATAAATATTAGTTCTTAAAATTCCCCTCATATTTTGTAAACACTCTGTATAATGTAGTAATATATTTTTCATGCTCGTGACGGAACGATGGCCGCGTGCTGTACGATGTGGTCACATGAACCTCGGAGCGTGACTATAGTTTACAACAAACACTTTTCATTATGGGTACCTATAGGCCGACCGCGGTGCAATTGTAATTTGCTCTTCTTGACGTATCGATGTCGTACTCGGAATCCCGTAGGATCGTGTCTCATATCATCCGAACTTCTCTGCAAGTCCCCGACGTCCCCGTATGCCATCATAAAATCGTAATTCAATAACCGTGACAAACAATTGTTTGAGCGTGTTTTAATTATTGCGTTCTGTCGGATTTCTCGTTTCGAACGATTTCGTCACCGACGACCGTGCGTCCTGCGCAGTGTTCGTCGTAATATAATTCATAATAAATACTGTATACATTACTACATTATTACATACCACAACCGCATGTTGGTATAGCATCTTTACGAATCGGGTATCCGTTTTAATTTTACACATTTACACCGACGACTTATTTTGATCCTGCGGGGGTTGGGTAAAAACGAAGAGTTCAATTATTGTGCTAGGACGGATAGTAGTGCCGAATTCAGGACGATTTTTGTCGATAAGCTTACTATAATCATGTGGAGCCGTACGACACTTGGTTGTGCATTAATCAGTATAATAATTACTCCAGTAAATTAGATTAACGCTGCAGATGGGTGTGTTATGTTTTCTTTATCGCACACGATGACGATGTACGATAATATTGCCGGGAGGGTTTGCAAGCCGGTTTCCAGCGATACCTTTTTAGTATGATTGTATACACACGAGCGCGAGGGTGTACCATACACCATGTATATTAAACATTATAAATAGACGTTACTCGCTACATACGCACATCAACGACTATAAATAACGCTGTATGTACCGTCAGTATTTTCATTATTATTGTTGTTACTATTTTAAATGTTACCCTACTTATTAGTAAAATTATACTTAAGCTGATGGTACCTATTTGTTTTTGCGCAGTTTGTCGGTCCTGCATTGTCAAGTACTTGGAGACGAGTCGGTTCTGTCCGATATGCGATGTGCAACTGCACAAGACCCGGCCGCTGTTGAGCATCAGGTATGAAACTATTATTATTGTGTGTAATAATTGTACCGCTATCGTTTTATAATATGACGTATTAACCTGGTTGTCGCTTGCAGACGGGACAAGATATTGGAACGACTTGTGTACAAAATCGTGCCCGGGCTACATGCCAAAGAGATGGCCCGCAGGGCCTTACCGAACACTGAATTGTATCTCTCACCGGACGACCTCATCAGTCTCGTATTGCAGTACCACATTGAAGACACAAAGTAAGTATATTTTTCATACTCGTACGATTTATTATTTTAGAAAATGTAATTGAAAACAAAAACTAATCGATGTAATAGAATCAATAATATCACTACTATATACATTATACAATTTCGTAGAAATTGATTTTAAACCCTTTAACCGCCTCATGTTTATAAAAATAGTAAAGTTTTCAATACATTTTTGACCATGTTAAACAGTCTCCGTTTAGAAGTAATGCGCTTTTACTTTTTAATGGACATTTTTTGTTCTTCTATAATAAAAAAAATATTTCGTTGTATACATAATACAACATGTAATATACGTCGTGTTTAATAAATCCAATTGATAAACTATATACTGTCTAAAGCCAATAATCGTGTATGAATGAAAAATAGAAATTACCCAGAGAAATAACTGGGGTTGGTCTGATAATTTGACGTCTGTCAAAAACAATAAAAAATGTAGCCCAGGACATATACTCCAACAGACACATGACTGCTGTGAAAAATAATGATTACCGCCCACGTCCGTCCGTCGTTAGTACCCGAGAACTTTCACCACGACGTGGTTTTTAGTGCAGTTATAATTAAACATATTATTACATTGTGGAATTATGCACATCTTATAGTCTAGTATAGACAGAGTGTGATACTTATGTATCTCGGATAGGCATAATTTTGCTACATATCTTAACTTAAACGATAAAAAACAACCATTGCATTGATTACTTTGGGTCTAATATAAATAATTCCCACGGTTAAGACTATAAAAGATAATTATTATCCAGTTAAAAATATATATTAATACAGGTTATCGCTTTCTTGATTGTTTAATTTATATATACTCAATAATTTAATTTAATTATATTTATCGTTTGAAACGATGAGCTAATATAGAATAATTCATTAAGTAGTATTATTTTTTTACGTTATATAATACGCATAATTTGAGGAGAAAGTATCAAAATTATATGCATATCGATAAATCACTAAGGGACGTTTTTATTTTTTATCAAGTACGGTTAATCGTTACAATCGTTAATATTTCGAGTGTCCACTTCAATTTTTAACAGACATAATATATGAATAAATTATATGCGGTTTATGTATGAGAAAATATTATTCGATGATATCGGCAAATAATTATATTTATTGTAAATGTATACAATATTATTATATTTATGTAATTTATTTAATTTTAACGATTATTTAAATAAAGTCAAGAATTTAATTTAGTAAAAAAATATTTGATGTTTAAAAATAAAAGTAATTGTTGAATTGTCAACAGATTAGACATAGGTTAAATCCATATCTATAGTGGTAATAAAGTACGAATATGTATGATTAAATTGAACATTTTTCATGTATTTTCTTAGGTCTTATTTATTTTACAATGACGGATAACAGTAATTGTTTTCACTTCGAATTTCGTAGTCAAAAAAGTATTTATGACAAAAATGCACAGTAAAAAATGTTCGCTCACATTGCTGTAATGCTATTAAAAAAAAAAATACATTAACAAGTTTATGACTGTATCGTCGTACAACGTTACAGTGACAGAACTTTATGAGTTTTAACTTTGAAAAATTACGACATTTAAAGTAAATTCTAAATAAAATACATACACCATATATTTATTGATTATAGGTATAATAACTATATTGATATTCACCGCATTATTCTTCTATCACGAACCTACCTAGACCCTCATGTCCCATCGCTATTGATTATAGAATAAATTATGGTTGCGGCTAGTAGCATGTGGCTGCAGGATTTTTTATTCAAGCAGAGTTTTATCAAACACTGACCATGAGTGTTGGGCTCGTAAGAGAATTTACCCCTTCGTATAGCATAATCTCAATCAGTTAATTTAAACATAGTTTTATTAAACTTATGCAAACTATATGGATAAGTTATAGATAATATCTTTGATTTGATACTATTGTGTTGTGCATTTTTTTATTATTATTTTGAACTTCTGTTTTATAGTTATTTAAAGTCGAGTTGATAAATATTATGCATTTGTAGAAAACATCATTTCGTTTTCGTTCATTATTAGTATTCAGTTGATTATCGTTATGCTAACACGAGACTAAGAAACTTTATAACATTTTTAATAGTTACTCTCATTATTCGAGTTTTTGATACTACGGATACTGTCCAATTTAAAGTAAATTAAAACTGGGATATTTATTGTTGAGGGTGAAAAAATTATACCAATGCATAATTAATTCGTGACGATTTTTGTATTATGAAGACGACGTGAGTGTTTCTGTATCTGACTATTGAAAAACATAAACAAAAACAAAAATATAAAAAAAAGACGAAAAATGATTGAAAAAAAAATATGTTAGTAAAGGGTCCTTTGTGCTCATTCGTACTGTGACCGCAAAGTATAGGAAACACAAAGGAGGGGGAAAAACGTACGCAAACCGCGTGCACTGTCAAACGGAGCGTGTCACGAGTGAATCGGTGCCCACAACAAACCTTGTATATACGTACATAATATCTATGATAAACATAATTTACAACAATAAACGGTTTTCTCGCGCTGGTCGAGGGTCAAGTGGCGCGTGACTTGTATATAGCGACGTTCATGATTTTTTTCCTGCAGTTCTCGTAATAACAAGGGTGTCCATAATTTCCGTCGATATTTCAATTTGCGTTCGTACTGAAAACTGAAATGGAAAACTACATACCCCACACGATTACAGTTGTGGTTGTTGTTCGATCGGATACTGTTTTATAAAATATTTTTTTTTTTAATTTAGGTCAGTATCGTTTTTTGGTGCAGTGTTATTATGATCTTTTGGAATACCAGCGCACATGTTATGAGCAAATTTGACTATCGATTACTAACGTTTAATAGATAATAATTATTTACAATGCAGAGTAGTCTGTAGCGTGCGCGGACGTTAACCTCACTCTAATGGCTATAAATTACCAACACAGAAAATACGTAGGTTTAAACTTGAAGTCTTACACATAAAAAAAATATTTCGAATTCGCAGTCGGAGTTTTCTCGAGCAAGTATTGTTCATTAAATGTCACTATCCGGTTAATCGTAGAGGATTTTATTTGTCATGCTTCGGCAACTGTCTACATTAAATCTAGATTGAGACACGTATACTCGGTGTATTGTGGTCATCGTGTATAGTGCGGTGGCCGCCGATAGCCTAAGACTAATTGTTGACATCTTGCTGTATAGAAATTATTTAGGACGAACCGTTTATATATTTTGTTGGAATTTTAAAGGTTGTCTTAGTCGACGCGTTTGGGTGCAAATAGAACGTGATAAGTTTTGGTGGTTGGCCAGATTAAAAAGCTGAAATACGCAATAACTGGCCCATTACCAAACGCATCATTATAATATGGTCTGAAAATTGTTGATTTTGTTTTAAATCCATCAATCGAATTTATAGCGTAATAATAACGACCGTGTATACTTTGACAAACAAAAAAATAATGTTTTTATTGAGTTTCATATCTGAATATTTCTACGTAATTATTATACTATCCCTAATATAAACATTTAGGTGTAAATGGTACCTGTTAATTTATATATAGAATATAGTTATAATATAATTGAAAACATCTAAAATATAGGTTATCTAATAAATTGTTCCTAAACCTTTAGAAAATACTACAGAAGATATTTCTTAATTTTTTAACAAGGTGTCGACATATTAAGTATAATACTTACCTATATTAAATAATAAATTATTAAATAAAATTTAGTCAACTATTTACCAAATACACTTTATTTATGGTATAGGTATATCTATTTTGGTCATTGCTTATTAAACTCATCTTATCTAACGTGAATGAGTTTGTAGACACTTCAATGATTTAAACTTTTGATCCCATCAAAGTATTTTTGTGTCAGATTTTGATTTAAAAATGTGAAGGAAGTATAATGGATATAGCTATAGTAGTGCCGTAGTGGTATTAAACTGATACGGATATATGCGTTTTGATTAAAAGTCTTCCAACCCTCTGGGAGCTGTTTTTAAAAAATCGAACACATCACCCCTCTGACGACGATGTCAGCAATTTATGTGCTGAGGGGTTACTGTGTGTATATAAAAGATATATATATATATATAATATTTTGGATGAAACATATTGGATTTACGTTATTAAACAAATATGTATTTATTTCAAGTGGAACGTTGCGCCAACGTTTAGTGATGATAAACGTTTGTAATTTATCGGGTCCAAAACAGTAGTCTAGTTTATTTTGACCCGAGGGATAGTTAGATTAATACCTATATTTAACGTACTAATGTATTCGCGTTTTTATTAACTACAATAGTATTTCTTTAAGAGGACGTCATATCCGCACATGCTCTCTCAGTCTTACTAACGTACGTCGTAGTAAATTTGAGTTCAGAATAATCCATTTTATGCTGTTTGCTCTAATAGAAGAGAAAATTTACTTATTATTCAACTTAAATGTAAGAATATTATTTAAGGTATTCGTAGGCTTTAATTTATATTTTAATTTTAAAGTGAATTATAACTTTATTAGCATTTCAAAATTTTAATATTTTACATGGCTTCACCCTATAACTCAGTTTAAAATTAAAATATCAATAAAAGCACATATGGGTACAATGTCTTCTTGAACTTTGCAATTACACGTAAACTTTATTATTATTTATAACGTACGCTCAGTTCGAATTATGGTACCTCAATAATGGTATTTTAACCATTAAGAAATTCGAAAAAAGATTTGTGTACATCACATTATTGTATAATGTTATAAATTGTTTTCTTTTTCTTTGGTCAGACCGGTTGGATTGGTGAGTAGCATCATATAGTAATTTATACATATTGTCACGCCTCGATTAATAACGCAGTGACTGCACTTCATGTTTACTTACTTGTTGGGTTAAATTATAACTAATCTGCTAGGTGTTAATGTGGAATCGTAACTTACTACTTGTTACTCACAAATTATTTTTGACTGGGGAAATGAAAAGTTCGTTCGTGCGTAAAAAACCGGAAATGCGATAAATGTAGTGGTCGCGGGCAGTCAACTGAAATCTTCATCCCCAGTCTTGTTATTGATAAGCCCGCGGGTTTTTTTAGTACATAGTAATCATCTTAAACCCCCAAGGAATAAATGGTTAGTCGTTTGTAACATCAAAATTACAGGTTTCGACCCTCGACACGTCTTGTTTTCAAAACTAAAAACAAATCCATTTCATTTTTATCTTATTTTTTTATTTTTTTTATTTCAGTTCCCAAACTGTTGACGCCGAAGAGAACGAGACCAATAATGCAGTGAACCAAGATTTAAAGGTGAATAAATTGAGTTGTAATGTAGTACCTTTAATTGGGAGGGTCGTGGTTTTTATTACGTTGTATCGGTTTATTTTTACTTCAATCTAATAAGCATTATTGAATATATTTTGTTTTTATTTGACAGGCTGCTCATAGGAAATTCCTCAAATGTCCTGCTGCCGTTACTGTGGAACACCTGAAGAAGTTTTTAATACTAAAATATAATTTAACCGACCAACACCAGGTAATACATTTATAAATATTAGATATTTATCGTTATGTAAGGATTCAAATCTAAATTGAAAGTACATAGTTAATATTATGTATACTACTACTCCCTTGAATGTGATACTAACTACCTATTCCTTTTATAGTTTACAATCGTTGTAACTTATCCAATGTCCATATATTATTTTTCATTATAAACATGCATATTAGTGTGTTTAATTAAATTAAATTATATAATGTCAACAATATTTAATTTTCCGTGAGATAATTATAATAAATATCAATTGTTATAAAAAACTCAAAAATATATAGATTTATTTGAGCTACAAGCAAATACTTAATTTTCTTAGTTAATAAATCTATAACACAAATTAGAAAATAGTGAGCAAATAATTTTTTTTTATATTTATAGTTTTATTTTAAGTAGACTGTGTTCTTGTAAAAAAATTAGTGTAAATCAAGTCTCTAACGTTTATTAACAAATAAATATGTCAACTTAATATTAATAAATATATTATTAAAGTTTAATTATTTGCATTACAGGTGGACATTTTTCATGCTTCTGAAAATTTATCCGATGATTTATCCTTAATAGACATTGCCTACTGCTTCGAATGGAAACAGGTAAAATAGTTAATTTACAATTTGAACTTATACGTATAGTCTAGTTTCGACTTATGTCGGCTTAGTTTTTGAATATTAAGATTCCATAGTTTCATTAATTATTTCCAGACCTCACCGATGGAATTATGTTTCCAAATCTTAGAAAAATCTACTATTGCTGTTCCAATTGCAGAAGAAGTAGAGTTAGTTGAAGATGTTGATATAGACGAAGATTCTCATAGTGTAGCCTCTTCTTCTTTACCGTTTTTGTCATCCAAAAGTATTTCTGAAAGCGACGATGCTTCAAATACAAGCTTGGATTCAAAGCCTTTATTTGAGAGACTGGAATCAGAAAAGATTTACCGAAAGAGAAAGCGAGATCGCGTGATCTCTGATGAAGAACCAGAACCGAAAAAGAGCCTGTTTGACAGTCTCCTACAAAGTACAACAAATAATAACGAAAACGAGGATAAAGATTTCCAAGAGTCGGATGAAGATTATTCTAAGTATGAACAAGATATTGAAGAGATCATCGAGGAAGATGACGATGATGACATCGGCCGTTTAAGGATATCGTCAAATATTTCCGAAGATGAAGTAAATAATGATGAAACGACTAGTCAAATGTTTGTCATCGATGAAGCTATTGAGGAAATCCCCGAAGAAGAAAAATGTGAAAAAGTAGTTAAAGAAAAGCACTGGAAATCAGAAGGGCGGAACAAGAGAAAGAGTAAGAAGGCAAAACACCATCATCACCATAAACGAAGACTGTCACAATCACCTCCTCCATCAGCTACCATCGTACACTCGCCTGATAGAGATATAATGAAGCTGAAAGTAAAGCTGAACACATTGCCAGGGTATCGACACAAGGACGATAAACATCACAGGCATTCCAAACACTACAATGGTAGTGCTTCGTCGGCATCCTCGATTGTGTCATCCCCAGCCAGATCGTCTTACAAAGAAGACGACTCTGTACTATCAGAACAATCTTGCGACAGTATTGCTTTACCTAAAAAATCTCGGGAAGAAATTAAATTGCCGGAGGAAAAGCAGCATGTCGGAGATGTTCGAAAATCTCAAATATCTCGATCCTCTTCACAAGCCGTAGTCGAAACTCCCAGGTGCGAAACTTTGGCTAAGGAACCAGTGCAACAAGTTCGAGCTGTACGAACCAAACCCAAACCGGCCGTAGAACAGCAATCTAACACTGAATCATCACACAAAATGATCATAATGCCTCCGTCATCGATTACGGTCAGTATTATAACAGCTGAAGAAAAGTTGAAGATGGAAAAGGACAAGACCCTCATGTTAACAAGTAATGACTATGAAAACAAACGGCCATCGTTGGAAATTGTTCGTGTCAATGGTCCTCCTACTACGCCCCCAATAACCGTTGAAGTTCCTAAATCCAGCCCTAAGCCCAAAGAACAGCACGAAGAACAACCCGCGCCACCTAGGCCGAAGACTAAGAAGCCAGTGCCCGCAGTTATTCCCATAAAATCTGCTAAACCGTCGATAACCATCATACCGCAAAATCGAAGTCCTAGCAGTAACAACAACAATAACAACAATAACAGCAACGGTACGAAAGTTGATGAAATTAAGACTAGCGTAACAATCTCATTAGAAAATGGATCTCACAACGACTCGGCGTTAGATTTGTCCGGAAAATCGTCTAGGAAAGACTGTGGGCCACAGTATACCACAATCAACAAAAACAATAACAACAACAACAACAACAGTAAAAGTATATCGTCCTTGCACACAAATGGTGGTGGAGGCCAATACGAGCCTCCGAGCATGCGGAACTTGATGACGCTTTCGGACACCGCGGTACACATTAGAAACATGATGTCCAATTCATCGCCATCGCCGTCTAGTAAGGAACAACAACAGCAGCAGCAGCAGCAGCAGCAGCAACAACAACAACAACAACAACAGGACGCGAAAAAACGGTACGGCAATCACCACCACAATAACAACAACCACAACGGAAACGGATCGTGTTCGCCGAAACGTCATAACGGAAACGTACCGCTCCGGATTCCCGTACCGCCGACTTCCGGTTCGTTCGCCAAGGCGTCCGCTGCTACCGCCTCTCAGAATAAACCGGTAAAAGCGTCGGTGGCGTCTCGCGCTTCCGACACAAAACCCAAACACGGGCCCCCTAACCAGGCCGTCCGACACATTCCGAACCCGTCGGTGCTATTGTTCCGGCACCACCAACAACACTTGGCGCAATTTGCTGCCGCCGCGGCCAATGCCGCAGCCGCCAACACTAACAAAAGACCAAACCCACCGGTACCGGCAGTATCCCGGATACCACCGCACCCGATGCCGGCAGCCATACCTCTGCACACCATCAGGAAAATGGAAAACTTGACCAAAAATATCGAAAAAGTCGCCGCCGGGCTTTCAGTCAAGGCCAACGCGCTTTACAAGTAATTTAAAAACCGTTTATATTTTATTTTTTTTTCTTCCACGTCTTCCGCTATACTTTATTTTTACCTTCTAACTAATAAAAGGCATCTCTCACCGTGTATATCACGTCATCGTCATTTTATTTTTTTCCCTCGACGACCGGCGGTAGACAACGAATGGTTTCTATAATTCGTGTACTTTTTTAACGTGAGATTAATTTCGGTTTTTGTTTTTATAACATTTTGTTTCGACAAAATCAAAACACTATTATTATTAGCACATTCCTGTATAATATAATATCATAACGTCTCTGAAGACGTGACTAGCCTGTTTACCGTACAAAGCAATGCGTATATGTATGTATGTATGTACGTGTACACGTGTCTTGGTACGTTGTTGTCGAATCGATCTCTGTGCAAAATAACAATAATTCCGTTATTACCTATTCGGTCGGATTGAATTTTCGGGTTAGAAATGTTAAAATACTCCTCTAGTCTTCTGTTCCGTGACTAGTATTAAACGTCAGGTTGCTCACGAATATCACATTATGTTGCTATTACGAAAACCGTTTTCGTGTACGCCGTCTTCTATTATTGGAAAACGATAAGACCAATGCTTCGTTTCGTCGGGGATGATGCCTGCCTTACATAATATGTCTATTCTTTTTTTAAATACAAAATTCCACGAGTATATTTCAATGGTGTATAATATTTATTAGGCAAAATTTCATCGAGAACGGCGGACGCTCACGCTTAGAACTTCCGAGTTGAAGTACTATAAATGCTACTACGTTCATTGGCAGTACCACCTACCGGTGAATTATTATTTTTATTATTACTATTATCTATTATTATTTTGATTATAATATCCTAAGTCTATTGTAAACAAACTATGTTTTTCCGTTGTCGGGCTAGACTGACAATGCGCCGGGCAAATTGCAATATCCATTGATGTTTAATATTTAATTATTTATTTATTTATTTATTTATTTATTTATTTATTTATTATTATTATAATCCACTGCGTTGTTGAAGACGACCCGCATTATTAATAGAAAAATGGTACAAATGTTTAAATATTTTATCAAGTGGGAGGGTGTGACCTCTTACATTGTAAATTTATATTATATTTTATTGAAGTTTTATCATTTAACTGTTAGATGTAGACTGATTGTAATTAAAAACATTTTTTATGTTGATGTAAACATAAAATAACGTTTACCAATGTATATATGTATATACTAATTTTAGTTAAATTAATTAACTATTATTTTACTCGTATTATTTATAATACTTAGACGGGTTAGATTAAATTATAATGCATACTTATATTAAGTCATAATACTATTTGGATATAATATATGTATTATATAATTACTGTAGTGATAATTTTAATAATATTACTTATGTACTATTTTTTAACATTAAGTATACAATAGTAATGTATTGTTGTGTGTAGATAACATTAAATACAATTGATTTTCTTTGTTATTACGACGCGTTGTATATGTACGTCGACACAAACCTTTTTACCGCTCAGTTTTACTTCCTATATGATCTCAACCTAGAACCTCACTCACCTATTTTCGTGTGAAACACGCAACGATAACACTTACGCCGCCGCCGTGTACGTAATACTGCCCTCGTATGATGACACGCACGCAACCGATACAAGTATCCGGGACTACGTTCCCAAGTCGAATGGACGAACATTAAGTCGTCAGTCGACGAAATAAACAGATCCTCTAACAGTCTTTAGGCACAAGTGTACTATCCGGGCGGGCATAACTTTACGAGACCCGTTTAATAGGTCTTCCCAGCAAGTATATATAGTGTTCGAATCTCTGTGTGTCGCCGTCATCAGATCACTGAAGAACAGAACAATTCGTTCCGGATCACCTCTCATCACGGCAAACGTGTAAAGAACTAAAGAACACTCGCCAAAGCGAGTTTGTCACCGTGTGAATAATGAGTATTTTCGTTTTTAGATTTAATAATTTATGGACGTCAAAATATGGTTTGTATCACTAAAAAACTAAATAACTGAAAAATGTCGATGACGGAGAGCCGATCTCATGTAACGATAAGTTGTATACTATAAATTATGATGTAGGGGATATAATATAAACTCAAAATTATGACATATAGCACAAACAAACAGGTTACGACGATCGTGAATGATGATATAATAGATTATTGCGACTTTTGAAAAAATGATATTAATGTAAAACACTAAAATTCGACATTAACAATCAAACATTTTAAACGAATTATATCGGGGTTGAGCGTCCGATTCGAATTGTTATAAAACATGACATTAACTTCATATTATCATGTAGGTACGCAGATTGTTTTCGTTTATGGTATACGACACAAATGGTCGGGACTGCTGGGGTTACGTAAGGACCGTTGACGCTCCTCCAAATCAATCATTTTTTTACTCGCATACTCTCTGCAAGTATACTAAGTACGTATCACCGTGCTCGCTCTCGATATGACATTATACGTTAAGGCGATGACGACGACTGATCGATTTCAAAATACAATTTAAATTCCTTAATACCTGTCTATATTTAAATCGGCCGTGTAGACATAAATGACTCGCGCCAGACAACGTAGTACGGGGTTGAATCTCCCCTCCATTGATAAACACCCAATTATTGGGTTCCAATGAAAAAACATAAATTATCTTTACAAGATGAAAATTTACAAATTTTTCAAACATAACATATAGAATTACTTTTATTTTTTTCTTGCTCATTATACAAATTATACATAATAACAGATATTTCTAACTTGGTCGCAAATTGCTTAGCACAAAGTTCGTTTTTCTTTAGTTCGTCATGATGTACGCTGCTCGAAAATAAAGAATTTTACACTATAACATAACATCGACATATGTGCTACAATATTATACTTGACATTTTTGTTTATTTGATTACGGGGTATAATAACCACTTGAAACGATAAGAATCATTAAAAATCGTATCACAAATATACGATTTCAACGGACGTTTAATTGTTTTGGTATAAAAAGACATTTCCAAACTACTTGTTATCGTGCTATAAAAAATATACAAATAACGTGATGTGTTCTCATAAGGTGTTGGAGACAGAAGTGACCCGTGTTAAATATTATGGTCTACGCGAAACGGGTAATTTAATTTTTTTTAATTATGTCACATATTTATACTTGGGTAATTGACGAAGGTATTGACCGTTATTACTTCGCTACAGTTCTTAAATAGACGAAAAATTTTAAATATCTGTAATAGGTTGAATTTGAATAATTTAAATTTTAAACATTTTTTTTTTTTTAAATCATTAACGGAACATACAACACAATTTTTCGATTATTTTTTCTGATAACTATCTATTTAAAATAATTATACCTAATGAACTAATTTGTGTTAAAACACGTGTCTCAGGTGATTGACCGTAGCCTTCGTTGGTAAATCTCGATAAGCGACTATACGTAATACGAAGTAATTTCTGCATCATAAGAGACAAATATGGAGACAGCGTCACCCTCGTTTTAATTTTCAAGTCTTATATCCAGAGACGTCCATACTTTCAGCAAGTAATTGAATTTTTGAACTACTCACGTACATAATCTTTACCTATGCCTCTGTATGGATTGTAGATATAGATAGGTTTGACGGTGTATAGACACGTCTTACTGTGCATGGTGTATGTGATATTGTATTATTATAATTCGTTCACCACCCATGGCGCTACTATACATAGTTGAGTCTTTGTGGCGATTGAAACGGTGATTAGCTGTTCCGATATTTCTATAAGGTTCTGAAAATAAATTAATATTTATCATGAAGTGTTTCGCTGGAACACTTGAGGGGACCTTATGGCACTTAAGAGTCTTGTATATATACATCGATGATCGGCCCACGGTTGCAGTGTCTTTTAAATCCTGACAAGAACATAAAAAAGTACCAGGTTATATGGTCCGTGATGACATTCATTTGTGTGTAGTGTGTGTATATTGAAAATGTTAAGAATCGTAGAAACAAATTATGTTTTTATCAATTGGCATTATTAATACCATGAAATGACGTTTTATTATAATGCTGATATGCGTGGGCGTTACGCCAGTAAGGTCATAGAAAATCATGTTCTGTGGTGGAATAAATACTAAAGGTATTGTATACTGTGCTTTCTATTTACTCTACAACAAACAAGACAGTTTTTTTTGATTTTTTTTTCAGCGCGGTGAGGGGAATCATTGTATTATCTCTTGGATTGTAATTTGAAACGCCGGTCAATACATAAATACTAGAATGACAATTTATCCACGTTTTTGATTTTACCTTTCACACCAAACTGAATTGAAAAATTTGGAAAGTCTATTTCAAGTAGTCTTCACGGTAGCTTAGAAATGTTTTCAGAATCGCGATTGATATAGTCGGCAGTGACTGCAAACCTGTACTGCTGTTCAAAAACACGATAACCACTAGAAAAGTGTGCTGAATGGAAACGCACAAGTTAAGAATTCAAAATATGTATTATGTAATGTATTTATATATTATGCCTACATATTTATTTTATATTATGAATTGACTGTGGCGATATGCCAACAGGTCAACCAGGAATATAAGCGGTTTTCTGTATATAATTATAGTAGTTATATTCAATTATTATCATTTATTTTGTTTTTTGATTGATTTTAAACACTGAAATAAAATAAAGTAATTAACGAACATCCCCGAACATCTCTGTGTAGTTAAACCGTTGATTCGGGGATTGATGAACTGCGCTCCTTATTACCAAATTTAAAATATTCCATTTGCTTTCGAATTAAAACAGGTGGTAATGGTATTCATAAATTGTACTCAATCCAATCAATTATTTCCTTAATAGATTACTAATAAACGATGAAGAAACTAATTTAGAAATAAACGTAAATACCCTACATAATATGTTTATATTATTATTTTTAAATGGTATAATCTATATAATATACAATAATTATTTAAAATTTAAATTGCAAATATTTAATATCTATAAAAAAAACTCATATTTTTATGAAAGTTCAATTTCAGTTAATATCTGTCCATTAAATTATAATGTAATTATTATTTTCGTCGTTCAATTAACTCGTATATTATGATAAATGTAACACCTAAAGCATGTTTGCTAAAATGTAATTATTGTACAATAATCATTCTTGTGCTATTGTATCTACTTATTATTTTATAAATTATTAGCTGTTCCTATAATTCTGCTTTATTTTCGCCCATGATTCCGCATCAAAAATAATAAAATTAAAATAATTTGGTCGTCAATATTTAAAATAGATATTTTTATTTATTTTATTTGTATTGTTTGGTCGGTATTTCCCAAAAACTTTTTTTTACAAAATTTAATAATAAGACATTTAAAACCACTATTATTATCATTATTGACAATATGTTTTGTGTCAACATACACAATGAAAATTTCACTAGCTTATATTAAATTTATTTATCTTTATTAAATAATAATATGTAATAATATAATACTTTCGCAAACTAGATTGCCAATCTATCATAAAAACGATATTAACGAACGTCGTCTAAAATCCCGGGACGTAAATAGTCTGTGACTAAAATATACCCGAAAAACTCGTTATCATGGACGTAATTAGATTATATTATCTCCAATATTTATACAATTTCGACGTTTGCGAATGACTTGATTAAATTTCTTATAAAATAGTTTGGTTGGGTGTGTGTGTATATAATACGTAATGGTGACTTTTCGTTTCATATAATTGGACGATTTGCGAATGCTGCTCCCCGGGCGGTTAATGTTTGTAATTTTTCTTTTTTTTCTTTCCAACCTTATCGACCGTTTCGATAATAAATGACGACGTCGTTTCAGAACAAGACGATTTGTGCATAATTTATACACTAACTGGCTTGGAGCCAAATGCCACCGATTATATTAATCCTCGAAAGCCATTGCAAAATCGACATGTCTGTCGTGTGAATCGTTAAAAACGCAGAAACAACACGCAAGTAAGAGTTATAAAAAAATGGGCTTTTAACTTTGAGTCTGTGAAAAAAACTATAATAATATGATTTAGAAATTCAAACGCTGAAGTATTATAAATAAAAGCTAACTGCGTGTACGTCGTATGAAAACTACCTATAATAAGTTATTTTATATTTAA